CTAGATAACCAATCAGAGTCCACAGGAAAATCACCAGTAATCTAGATAACCAATCAGAGTCCACAGGAAGATCACCACGAGATAACCAATCAGTGTGATATTCCTTCTAAATTAGAATGAAAAGGAAGACCACAGAATGTGGATATCCATCAGTTCGGTTGGTAATATTTCTAGTTTCTTTCCGTAGTATCCTGAGAGAGTGTTTCACGTCAACAGTGGTGTTACTGCTCTAGACTTCTCGGCAGCACATCCTAACTTGTTAGCAGTAAGTATACCTTCAAATAAACAAAACAAGAACTTCAAATTTTATCGTTAACATGACCTTTGGGTTGATCTTTATACATTCGTGGTGATGCGATGTTTTTTCCACTACAGACCACATGTCCTTCCCAAGAGTAACAATTCTTTGTTTAACGATTGAGAATGCGAGGCACATGAGCATGGATACAAATTGAACAAAAACTGTATTTTCTTGAAAGAGAATGATACGTGGTCTAAAATGCCAAAACCTTGCACCCAACGGATCAGGTCTATTAAAAATTTGTGGAGGGAGGAAAGCCGGAGAACCCGAAGAGAATCCGAAGAGAATCCGAAGAGAACCCGAAGAGGAGAACCCGAAGAGAACCCCTCGAGTCAAGGGAGAGTACCAACAATCTCCAAGCACATGCGATAGCATAGTTGAGTTAGAGGCTTTGAGAAGGCTTTTTCATACCTTTAAATAGAAACATTGATTGTTTAATGACGAAGGCACAGAAAGTGCGTGCCAAAGTTAACCTATCTACTCTAATACAATTATATTGATTGTTATTCAGGTTGGCTTGTATGACGGCACAATAGCAATATATAATGTTCGCAGTCCAGAAGACTCGCCAGCTCTAGACAGTTTGTAAGTGGAATTTTACTATCGCTTACTAAGTTTTAGGCGTACTGCACAAACAGGGTTCGTGCTACTCCTTGAATTTAATTCACGTGTTCAAGGGCACTTGAAAAGCTCTTGAATTTTACGATTTTAGCGAAACTCCTTGAGAACTCCTTGAATGTTTGCTTTGATCATTACTTGCATGGTTCTAAAATAGATCTAATCAGAAAGATTGGAAACTGAAAGTCGGCCATGTACCATTCGGGCTGCGGGTCTAATTGTTTTAGTATAAATATACCAATACTCCAGTTTCGAGTTTTCTTTGCTCAGCCTTAGTCTCGGTTGTGGTTCTAATATTGTATTGTTCCGTATTACGTACATTCCTTACTATACAATGGCCCTTAATAAGAAGAAAGAACACATTTGTACACAATGTAGGCTAAAACTGAGCAAAGGCGAACTCGAAATGGTCAAATAGATGGATACAAACAATTTTGAAATTCAGTTGAAATAATATATCTATACATATTTTGCATTGGCTTTGTTTTTCAAAACCTGCACTTTTCGCTACTAGTGGTCAATCACTAATAGACTACTAATAACTCAGCCAATCAGAGCGCAGGATATCATGATGATTGTAATGGTTGTGTGGATCATGTTGTAGTGAGTCTCAAGGTAAGCACACCTCACCAGTATGGCAGCTACAGTGGGTTGATCGTGATCATGGGACCGGTGAAGAGATTGATGAGATCCTGGTATCGATATCTGCTGATGGAAGGGTCACTAAATGGTCTATCAGGAAAGGTTTCGAATGCGCAGGTTAGAACCACTAAGTAGAAGGTTTTTTTCGACAGATATCCCATGATCAATTGCTGGTTTTCACAGCCGCGATGTTGGATGAATTTTACGAAAGATTCGTCTTTAGTCTCTTTTGTTAAATTCATCCAACATTACCACCGTGTCTTTTGTTATTCCATTCTCTTTGGCATGGTTAATGAGAAGGTCCGCAAAACAATAATCAGTATATAAAAGTATTTGCTGCTACCTGTCTGAATAATTCTTTCTCTATTTTAAAAAGACTTGATCAAGCTCAAGAGAATAAATGTGACGAAGCAAACGACTAAGGGGGGAGGGGCTGGCGGAACTACTGGACGCAAGAGCGACGCTCTCATTTCAAGGTTTTCTGCTGGCTTTTGCTTTGATTTTAACCCAAAGGATTCGAATATGTGAGTACTATTTTAATCCTATGTATCATTTTTTAACTTAATCATGAAGCTTGTATTCCTTCCTATGATAACAAATGAATGTTACGTTGTCTCATTACAGATACTTGGCTGGGACAGAGGAAGGGCATGTTCATAAATGTTCGTGTTCATATAACGAACAGTTCCTGGAAAGCTTTCTTGGACACACGGTGAGACCTTTAAGGACGATCACACCGAGTTTACGGGCTAAAGAAATATCTATTTTGATGCATGCAGTGATGTCTAACAAAACTGGATTTTTTAGCTGAAACAAGTCCTTGGTTCAGTACTGCATGAACTGAAACACCTCGAAGAAGTCGTAAATATAGTTGTGACTTGGAAGAAAAAATCACTTGTGATTAAGTCATAAGATGATGAATGATTGATATTTCGTGAAAACAGAAAGTCTAGAGAATACGATAGCAACTAGTATCGGGATTTACCTATTCTTCGGTTGCACGTTACGTCATCGCGGCCATGTTGGTGCCATTTAACAAAAGATTTCTCATTAGCACCCATTGTAAACGGCACCACAATGGCCGCCATGCTTTTGTCTTTTGACTCTCTTGGGAATGCTTGCAATCCATCAATAAGTTTAATCAGGAGAAAGCTGCCAATGTAAACCCGTATTGTCGACTCAAAATTACCTCGCGATAGCAAAAAATCGCGATACAAAACTTATTGCGATTTTGAGTCGTCGATACGAGTTCATATTGGTGGCGCTGGAAGAACATACAAACCCGTAAGGGCAATCAAAATCGCAATAACTTATATTAAAGTTACATCGTAGCAATCATGCACAAACCTTGTTATTGAACCACATTTAGCTCTTGTGGAGGTTATACGGCCAGTGATTAATTAGTACATTTCAGTTCCATATATCTTTTTACTTAGGGCCCTATTTATAAAGTAAGGTGGTCGCCATTGTGTGATGATGCTTTTATAACGTGCAGTGCTGATTGGAGTATTAGACTGTGGCACCAGGACAAGACACAGTCAGTTATGACTTTCTTATCATCCACGGTGAGTCACTTGCTTATTAAATACTTCAATATTTGTAATGTTCCTGGCTGAAAAGTAATGATAAAAAGGTAAATTATACACCTTGAAAAGATGAAAAAACTTTACCTTTTTATCATTACTGTTTCACTTAGAAACGCCGACGCAGCTCGTCGAGTTTCGTACGTGTGCACTTGAGCTGGCTGGAATAAGATATCAAAATAAAAAGAAAAGAGTTAAGAAGGGGATCAACATATTGTTCAACATATACTTTTACCGCGGTTTTCGGTATTTGGCGAACTTGGTAGTTGCAAGCTGCACGCTGGAATTAAGTTTTTCGCTGCCGTCTATCAAAAATAATCAGTCGGTACCTTTTATGATGTTCTTGACTGACGGCAGTGAAAGAACAATTTCACAACAAGCCTTTCAAATGTGTCTAAGTTCGCAGAATATTAAACCGCAGTACATTATTACATTTTTATTTCAGAAATCCGTCAACGATATCTGCTGGTCACCAGTTTGCGCTACTTTATTTGCCTGTGTCACTGATCGAGCTATAGAGATCTGGGACCTAAAGGCTAACATGTGAGTAGAGTTACACCAGTTTGCGCTACTTGATGCATCTTTCTTTCCGTTTTAATTGTCATTGTCTCTAAGACCCTATTCGACTGAACTTTCTTCAGACAACCATATTGGCTACCTAAAAAAGACTCTCGTGACTAAGAAATAAAGAGAGTATCGCGAAATAGACCTTTTGACCAATATGGCGGCCATCTTGAATTCTATTGTTTTTAATTAAGACATTATGGGATGCCAAGTGGGCAACTATTGGAAAATTTAGAGACTGCGCAGCTGTCAGGATTTCTTTTTATATAACTTTGCGCTTTTCAATGAGAAGCACGTCTAAAAAGATATTGAATTTGCTGGTGATTGGAACAATATTTGAAACACCCCCGGGAGAGGGGGGGGAGGGTACTACCACCCCAACTTAGGTAGGGGTATGCCGCCAGGACCTCAGAACCCTGACCTTATCTCAGACCTAAAATTCTGATTTAACATACCCTACCCCAGACTAAAACAAAGAATTGTACACCCTATCCCAGACTAAAAGACGGAAAAGACGGTTGTTCAATAGATTGCAATCAATATTTACTAACGTTTTTATTGTTTTGTGCCGTCAGAAAGCGTAGCCTATTCGCCAGACGAAAACGAACAAATCGTTAATCCTATCCCAGACAAAAATGGTACCCTATCCCAGACAAAATGTCCAAAAATGATACCCTACCCCAGACCCAAAAGCCGAAAAACCATACCCTATAGGGCGGTACATACCCGTATAGCAAATATAGGGGAGTACCCCCCTCCCCCCGGGGAAACACCATGACTTCAAATTATCTGATAACGTTACCTCGCCATTCTATGCTTTATACATATTCCACTGCCCCCTGGGCGTCCCATACTTGAAGATGGCCGTCGTATCAGTAAACGAAATTTTTATTATGGACCAGAAATAATTTCACTCTGACAAGATGCTCTTTTCCTTCTTACAGTCTAGATCCTATCATTTCGTACGTTCCTGTGCAGAACTTCAAGCTTTCAAACGTGATTTTCTCTCTTAACACATCGGTTAGTAGCATATGGTTTTATTGAGCATGTGGCTTTTGTAACAGCTTAACCTATAATCTGGATTGTTGTATTTTGTTTGCAGATCCAAACCATTTTAGTGGGTGATTCAGAAGGTCAGGTTACTGTCTATCAACTCTTGGGTACATCTCAGGGCACAGATAGCGAGGTAATGGAAAAAGACCTGCTACCGCACCTAGACTAACAATAATTAAGTGGACTCTTTTCGTGTTTGACCATAACATGATGTTCACATTATATAGCGTGACTCGATTGAAACAACCTACAAATATAATAATAATAATAATAATAATA